GCCCTATGGTGACATACATCCATGAGAGGGCGCTCAAGAGCGATAAAGCTTGTGGAATCCAAGCTTCTGAGTAGCTCTATTCCCAGGGCGATGCTAAGCTAGGCCTCACTAAAACGAATCTCGAAAAATGGTCATATACAGCATAATTAGTATACATGCCAACCAAGAAGGCACTTGTACAGTCAACAGGACAGGAGCTCAAACAGCTTCTGGAGTCTGTGCATGTGCCTGCCTTAAAGAACAACAAAACAAGGAGTTAATAAATATTTATGTGCTGCCATATTAAAACCTTCTTATTGTTTTACACAATTTAAAAAAAGATCTGCCTTTTAGATTGTGTGAACATGTCAGGATTAATCCAAAATTACCATATATCAGTGTTTTTTAAAGTTTAAAGTTACCATGTGAGGTTTTGTCAAAGTTTTGCTTCTAACACAGAGTATCAGAGTATTCAGAGTATTCAGACTTCTGTCCTTTGTCACCAAGTTCAAAAGTGTGAAAAATGGTTTTGAAATCTATACAAAAGCATGCAAACTGCCTACATGTGAAAGATAGGCCTGGTGGAAAATTCAAGTTGACCTCTGTTGTACTGAAAAGGACTAAACTGCTACTGAGGGATTGTTAGGGGTATTGTCTAACTCATCAGTGTGAAGGGCTGGTCTTTGTTCTGAGAATAGTGCAGGCTTTTCTCCCTGTCCAATCAACTAAGTATTGTAATCCTGACCTAGAGGTCAAGGGTCTTGACCTGTGACAATGCCCTCTGACTTCTAACTGAATAACCCGTGTGTTTGTAAATCACGTCACAGGCGTTGGATGCCCCAGTAGTAGTCTTTTGGCCTCAGAAGCAGTTTCATTGTGCTGCATGCTGCTGATTCACAGGCCTGTTAGATTTTCTTTAGGCCTGAAATCACTCCATAATGCAAAAACAGTGCACCAGCGTGATCCTCCTCCAGCATGTTAATCCTAGCTGCCGTGAAGATTTGAGAACTTTTCCCCGTGCATTTAATGAGCTACTCTGTCATGATTATCTGACACTCTAAGGGTGATCATCTCCTGCATTGCTCCACTGCGCTTTGGCCAGAGGCTGCAGAGACCTGCACTGTACAGCATTCAAGACTTTACTGTTGACAGACTGGTTTGCCCTCCACATTGTTGTCCTTTGTGGTTCAAATTTCCAGCCCTTTTAAGATTTCTTAGAGCAGATGATTTGGAACTTCTTCAGAAATGCTGAGGGTTTTGTAAACAAGGTTAGGTATTTTTTGCCTTGTGTGAGGTGGTCAACAAATATCTCACACAAATATGTGTTTTGAACGTTTGCATGAAGACGATAGCATCTAGTGATAGCCAGGCTGCCTGAGCGAGCAGAGTCGGTTTTGGTTTTGGAGTGAAGATAGTGTCAGTTATAGGGAGTGTGCGTGAGTGTCCGAGAGAGAGTTTAAGCTTGGGGGGCTGGGGGGACGTGCTGACTGAGCCACCAGCGCACAGCTCCTCTGAGGCACGTGACAGTGCCAAAGCAGGTCAGGAAATTGGGCCCATATGATGTTTTTGCAGCAGTGGAGAGCAGATTTAGTGGAGATATGAGTGGAGCCATGAGGGATGAGTCGCAGTGAGAGTGAGGAGAAGCAGGACAGACACACAACCGCTGCAGACGCCACCCCTGCCAGCTCTGTGTTATTACAACTAGGGCTGGCCCGAATAATTGGAATACTCAAGTATTCATTCGTTATGTTGGTTTTCGTTTCCTTATTTAGTATTCGAAGCGTCGTCTTTTGTTAACCCTGTGGACCCCAAAAGACCTCTAGAACTCCCTCATAGATTCCTGATAGATTTCTGAGTCAGAGGCTTGTTTGTCATTGTTTTAAACAAAATTACTTAACGATAGACATGATATCCAGGTAATGTTACCTGGCTAAAGGCTGAACATAGCCACACCCCCCACACACACTTTCGCAGTGGCATCCCTTTTCTTTGAAATGTAACAGTTAAATGAAGCAAAATAGATAAATACACATGAATTTGTTTGGCTATAGGTTTGACTGTTGAGCAACATTCAGGTGAAGAACCTGAGGACATCCTCAGTTACTCATTTAGTCGAGATACAGAAACAAATGGAGACAGCAAGCTAGCTAATTGATTCATTAAACTTTAGCGGATTCCTACAAGTTATGAACAGCTGTAAATTTATAAGAATTTAGTATAAAACATTGAAATAAATTGCTGAGTCCTCAGTCCTGAATGAGATTTGTGTTCTGTCAAAGTTATTTCAGTTAGCATGGGATTGAACTTGGGCTACCAAGTTGGCAAAGGAATATAAGTTTGACTATCAATACAATCTATACAATCTATATAATCATTCAATCAGTTTTCTTTATGGCTGTGAAAACACATCACTAAAATAAATTAGCATCTCGAAAACAGCCTTGCTTAAGACTATAAGGTTAAGACTGTACTGTACACAGTGGAAGTCATATGTCAGCAACATCCAGAAACACTGCCAGCTTCTCTAGGCTCAAGCTTATCTGAAATAGACTGCACAGTCTACAATAGACACATGTATTGTGGTCCTATGGTCCAACCTTTCAGATTTTTTATGGAAATAATGGACGTTGTATCCTCCGGGCCAAGGAAGAAAAGGACAACCCAGATTGTTACCGGCATAAAGTTCAAAAGCAAGGGTCTGTCATGGTTTGGGGGTGTATTAGTCCCCATGGCATGGATAACTTGTCACACAGACAAGATGGATAAAAGTATGTAGCATAGCAGATACATCAGGGAAGTGGGGGTGCTGACTGCTAAAAATAGTAAAAAAAAGAACTAAACATGAATATAATTCGAGCCTAGTAACGACCTATGTGTGCTTATTTTAGGGTGTAGTTTGTATTTTATTTTGTTTTTTTTATATAGTATTTATATTATGATATTTATATTCAATTTTATTTTTATCTATTTTCAAAATCTGCAGTGCCATGCACTGTTTAAGGTAATGCATTTTCATTACTGCAGGCCAAGTCGCTTTCCTTGCCAACTGTTGGATGCTTTGGGGGGTGTGCTGCTAAAACACAAGGAACTTTAGATAGAGTTAGAGTTAAGATAGAGTTAGAGTTAGAGTTTTAAGAGTTAGAGATGCAGAGTTGCAGGTTTAGTTTGGAGCACCAAAGCACCCTAATGTTGTTTTTAGGTAACACCGTCCCATGTTTTGAATACATTTGTTGTCCTTTAAACCATTATATCTCCTGCTCTGTGTACATTCAAGTATTGAATCTCAGCATGTAGCTTGACTGTGGGTGTAACCCAATTGGTTACTGCGCAACATATCAGCAGTGTGATATTGCTCAGCTCATTTGAATAAAGTACTTTCAGAATAAGAAAAAGCAAATAAATCAGGGCATACAGCGGTAGTGTGGTATGTCAGTTATATGTATATACACCAATCAGGCATAACATTATGACCATCTCCTTGTTTCTACTCTCATTGTCCATTTTATCAGCTCCACTTACTATATAGGTGCACTTTGTAGTTCTACAATTACAGACTGTAGTCCATCTGTTTCTCTGCATACTTTGTTAGCCCCCTTTTACTCTGTTCTTCGGTGGTCAGGACCCCCATGGACCCTCACAGAGCAGGTACTATTTGGGTGGTGGATCATTCTCAGCACTGCAGAAACACTGACGTGGTGGTGGTGCGTATGTATGTGTGGTGGTGATACGAGTGGATCAGACACAACAGTGCTACTGGAGTTTTAAAACACTGTGTCCACTCACTGTCCACTCTATTAGGTGCACCTGCGTTGTTGGTCCACCCTTTGTGAAAAAGCCAGAGATAGCTGATGATAGCTCATCTCTTGCTGTACAGTATGAGCTAATCATCCTCTAGTTCCCTCATTGGTGGTCACAGGACGCTGCCCACAGGACGCTGTTGACTGGATATTTTTGGTTAATGGACTATTCTCAGTCCAGCAGTGACACTGAGATGTTTAAAAACTCCAGTAGCACTGCTGTGTCTGATCCACTCAGACCAGCACAACACACACTAACACACCACCACTTCAGTGTTACTGCAGTGCTGAGAATGATCCACCACCCAAATAGTACCTGCTCTGTGAGGGTCCATGGGGGTCCTGATCACTGAAGAACAGGGTAAAAGGGGCTAACAAAGTATGCAGAGAAACAGATGGACTACAGTCTGTAATTGTAGAACTACAAAGTGCACCTATATAGTAAGTGGAGCTGATAAAATGGACAATGAGCATAGAAACAAGGAGGGGGTCATAATGTTATGCCTGATCGGTGTATTGTATGTCTTACCTCATTATGGCATGTTATGACATGCTCTGTTTGATGTACATTATTAAAATTAAAAATTGGTACATTATTGTGCATCATGTTGCAGTGTGTTACACGTATATGCTGTTTAAAATTTTTGCGCCCCTATTGTAAAACACATTTGCAGGTGTCTTGAATTCTATTTTTTTAAATGGTGTCATACAGTGTCAGAAATCACATCCTGTTACAAGTATCCTGTTATAAGCATAACAGGATTATAAGGATTAACAAGATATGTATATCCTGTTAGAAGCAAGTATGTCTGAGCTAAATTAATAATTGCTTAACAATTTAGACATGCGTTTTGCGTGATGCTAACCGTGGCGGTATAAGCCTTCGGTCATGTAAGCTACTTCTTAATATAGATACCAAGGTGCCACTTTTTCTTTAAACACTACAAACAATGCCTGGTATCGCATCGGTGCCATCTCTACTGGTTAGCTTAATTAGCTTTGTAGCTCCAGTGCAAAGCTTAAAAAGCCAGCAGCAATCATGTCTCGACTGAATGCATTCATTGACTTCAAAGTACAAAAGTACAATTTGTGTGAGTTTTATTATTATATTTGTAATAGAACAAGTACTGTTGCTTGTTTTGAAGCATATTGGATTACTATCTAGGAGAACATCTTAGTAATAGGTTATGGCATCTGTAATCTGAATATCTCTGTCTCCCACAGTCCCCTAGAGTACACAGTTACCCTGATATGGAGGCCGTGCCCCTCTTCCTGAGCAAAGTGAAGGCAGAGCCACCAGAAGACCTCCTCTCTTCTGAGCAGTTCCAAACTCAGACTGAGCCCGTAGATCTGTCGATCAACAAGGCTCGGCCATCACCCCCTTCTGCTACCGGCTCTCCCATCACCTCTGCCTTCTCTCCTTCATCCTCCTCTTCATCGTCCTCATCCTCGCCCTCCGTCATCGCCTCCGTCTCTTCGGGCATGCCGTCGGTGTTGACACCAGGGCCTCTGGTAGGCTCTCCCCCAGGAGTCCGAGGCCAGCCGTTTTTGCACATCATCCACCCGGTGCCGCCCTCAAGCCCCAGCAAACTGGCCAGCCAGGTGCATCGCATCCCGGTGGTCGTGCAGTCACTGCCACTCATGTACACTACGGCAGTGCGCTCGCCCTCAAACCACCTCAACTCCACCATCATGTTACCTCTTGTGGACGAGGCCAAGGGCAAAGGTGAGGGACCACTCAGCACTTTATGAGTCGTTTCATGCCTGATTAGATTGTGATTTCAAGGACACATACCCTAATTTTTTCTTGCATTTTATTATTAGTTTTCATTGAGGTCCACTTTTTATGTACCAAAAAAGGGTCATGATCGATTTTTGCCTGACCATTTTCCAACCTGTCTTTCATCCCTCAGGAATAAACAGGCTGTTTTTGTTACTGTGCTTTTAAGACCAATGTATGTAAATGAGCTCTGTTCTGATTGGCTCTTTAGAACTTCAGCATGAATGGGTGGAGCTAAACTGCTGTAGGCTGAATCGGTGGATATAGAATAGGTGGATACATGGAAATGTGTTTGTTTTTGCGACATCACAGAAACAGTGAATTTAAAACAGGCTGTTTTTGTAACTGTGCTTCCATATATGAATTGTATGGTGTGGGCAGTAAACAGTATGTTTAGAAACTACATCGTTTTCCATTAAATTGGCTCTTAATTTAAGTTGTTTAGATGGCAGCTTAGACTACTTAAACTTATGTATTGATGAATTAATTGACTCATTTACTCTGTTATGCGTTCTTCAGTTCCTCTTCTTTTGCCACTTTCATTAACTAAATCTGTTCCAAGGAATTTCTTCTTTTGTGGTGCAGTGAAACAATAGAACAATATATTGCCCCCAGTGCTTCCTTTAGTTTATTGCACTCTGTTGCAAATGACTGTGTATCATATGATCATAGAGTGCCTTTTTAGAGTAAATGACACATCAGTAATAAAAATCCATTTTTCATAAGAAACGTTGTTGACTTTGTCGATTAAGCACTGCAGCCCTACAGCCAATAACAGTAGTAAGCTTCAAACGACAGTAGTAAGCTTCAATCAACAAAGAAATATAGAAAGTAGGTTATTTAGCGATGTCTGGGGTGGAATTAGAGGTATTAGACACCAGACGAGGCATCAGTGTCCCTATCCCTTTCCACCATACAACTGCTGATCTTTTAATCATGCACAGTTATGAGCTTGATTGTCCTCAGCTGCCTGTGCAGGTCCTGAAGTTTTACAGTAGGTTCTTTCTGTCTGGCCCTGGCTGCTCCCTGACTAGGTCTTTGTGCATCAAAGTGCACACTTGAGGTCGAACATGAAAAGAAAAAAAGGCTTGCAAGAAAACGTCAACACACTCTAACTCCAGTAAAGACCCTCTCCTGCACTTTCTGGGAGCTGCGGGTGTCTCCAGGCACTAATGCGTTTCTGGTGAGCGGAGATGAGATTTGAGAGATGAAAGTGACTTTCCGTAAGCGTGAGATTTTCCCCAGCGCTATCGCCTCCAGTGCAGGTAACGGAGACCCGCTGTCGGCCCTGTGCCACCCGGCCTAATCAAAAGCACACATCTCAGGCTTCCCACAGAGCTCCTCAGGTCCAGGACCTCACTGGCTGCTCTCTGGGGCTGCTGTTTGGAGCCGGTTTCCTGCAGGGTGGGGCTTTCTTTCACTGCTCTGGCCCAAAAACCACCAAGCGATGGGTGTTGTTATCAAACGGAGTCCGGCCTAAGACAGGCACTGGGGAGCTGTTTGTTACTAAACCGCTTGTTTATCTGGGACTAGTGTTGGTCCCAAAGGGCTGGGCATGGCCGGGCGCAGCGTAAGACGAGAGCTTTTTTAAACGTCGGGTGTTTAACGGCAGGAGAGGGGAGGAAGGAGAGGAAAAACAAAGTTTGCGTAATCGGGTGGGGCGGATATTGAAGATGGGTGGCAGTGTAAGCACTCAGGCACATAGCAACATGAGCTCCACCCAGGGAGATTCACTGAAGCGCAGGGGAAACGAGGTCAGGCCTGGGTGGAGCCTGCAGAGTGGCAGGCCATGGTATGGCTGTGTGATAGCAAGGTTAAAGCGATGCTTCAGCCAATAATCAAGTTGACAGAAAGTCCCTCTCAGTCGGTCAGCCAAGACGTGTTTGGTGTACGAAGTTTGTTTTTTTAGTCTATTATTCAAGTTACAATTCTGATGTAGCTAATACCTAACACGTGCCCCTGCAATGAGCATTGTGCAAACTGCAGATGATTATACACTTGCTTCAGTGTGTCAAGTTGCTTAAGGGCCCAATCATGATAAACTAAGTTTATCAAATAAAAGTTTGATGTAGTATGATGTAGTATATAAACACTGGTAAAGCTCCAAAACATACCATTAACTTCCCAGTTCATACTAACCTTATATTGAAACTAAGCTAAACTGCTTATTTTGAATGAATTGTTTTTGTGATGATACAAAAATGGGTGCATTTTTTTTAACATTATTGGTGCGCATGGATTTTAATGCTCGGAGCTCCGAGCTGAAGCCTCAAACTCCTTCACAAACACACATGCACACCCACACACACACACAGACCTTCTTTAGAACTTCAGCTTTGAGTCAGTGAATGATTTTAGCAGCTGTCTGTCTTTGAAAACTGATAACTTTATCGCCGTTACTTCTCCATGGATCCATTTTATTCTTTCTTTTTGTCCTCTTCGAATGAGTGTTTTTATTAAATGCAAGAGAAAGTAAAAATTCTCCACAGATTCCTACATGAACACCTTTGAGCTAACTTGAGAACCAGGCAGCTGGACATTTGTGGACCTGAATTTCCCACCTTTGGTTATTAGCTATGTAAATATGATGCTGTCCAATTTTTTTGGCGGTCATAAAAATTTGCGTGTAAATGTGTAAATTTGACTTTTGGCTGCTCAGTTGGATTGTGAACCTGAACTGTAAGAGTGTCTCATTACTTTCATTTCAAATATGTAGTGTCACAGGACTTACACTCGCACCTACACAGAGCCATGGACTCGAACAAATGTTCACATGCAGATGTCCGTGTCCAGGGCGCTGACGGTCAGAAGCTGAATGGACACTGTACACACACTCACACGCCCACACACACGCACACATACACATGCACGCACACACAGGTTGGCCATCCTTTTAAAGGGAGGTGTGTGCCCTTCTCTACAGCTCTGTCTCTGGTGGGGTTACCATGGAAACAGGCTTTGGCTGGAAACAACAGCAGAAAGAAATCCTGGGGTTTGCTTAGCTACCTCTCATGAACTCCTCTTTTGTCGCCGCCTTTATATGGACATTTTCCGAAATTTCCTGGCCCACAGTGTAGGTAAATTGGACAGCTTACTACAAAGCAGTTCAGCGCATTGTTCAGTATCATGCCTGAGAAAGCTGTATTTTCTTGTACTTATCATAATGCGTGGTATTCTGCTAGCATAGTTCATGCAAATTCATGAATCAAACACAGCCAATATTGCACAGTGTTTAAATACTGCGAGTGCACATTTACATAATGTACAGACTGGTATTCCGAGGGAACGCGCAAGCTAATAGGAGCTATTTTTCTTAGCCACTGTATGTGAGTGACTGAGCTGTGATGTGGGGTGTGCTGGTGTGTGTTAGCAGGCCGCTGTGTTGAGCTGTGTCTAGCTAGAATAGAGGAGACTCGGTGAGAGGGGACGTGCTCCGGGCTCTTGTAATGCATCCAATGAATCTTTCATTGGAGGAGTTGTCAGAAGTTCTGCTGAGCATTTGTGGCACTCTGAAATTAGACGTTCCAGCCAAGGCTGTTCTCTCCAAGTTACTCGGATACGGAGAACCCACCCCCTCCAATGCTGTCAATGAGAAGAGACACTGCCTCATAAAATCACCAGCAACTGACTGAGGACAGGGTTCATAGAGAATGATAGTGAACTAGTGACTACATGAATGTGGTTGTGGGAGAGCGGAGTTGGTTGGCACAGTCTTCACTCTCATACCATACATTAGGATAACCTAGCTGGCAGCAAATTGAAGTTGAACATTTTTGCTTTCAATGTCAGAAAGATTTCCTGGAATTAGTGCCTTCACAGCCACATTCATGTGGAGCACTTGTGTTATGTGGATGGTTGGCACAGCATTAAAAAACTGTAGTTTCAAAGAAGAAAGAAACAAACACAGCTTTTTATTTAAACCAGACCACAAAAAAAATGTTGATTGGCAAGCAGTTACCATTTTTGAATGAATGAAACAGTTGAAATCTTTCATGTCATTGTCTTGTTTTGAAGGACGTTAAGAAGGACAATAATCAGGATAATTTAACTCTCCACTTTGCCAATGTAAAACCTTTTTTTCTTTTAATAGCCTGTAATAAAACAACACAATTCATTGTGTCTGTTTTCTAGCTAGTGAATTAAAAATAAAATAAAAGTTAAATGTTTACAAATAAATGTCATATTTTAAAACATAATAATTTGAGTTCAACTTTATGCTATTTTCATTTTGAGATTTATCATCAAATGACCAAACAGCCTAGAGGTAAGAACAACTTATTAGAAACTGAATGTAAAGGACAGCTGTAGTTTTGGAGTTTTCAAATTCTATCAAAAAAAACTAGAAAAATAGACAAGCAAGGTTTTCTCTGACCATGGCCATATGGGTCACTGATATGACATTTATCAAATTATTTAATTGTTCATTTACTTTTTGCCTCTAAAAGTCTAAAAATGTCAGGTGGTGCAATCGTTCCAGCCATATATGTTGATTAACTAAACTATCAAGATAATTCAGTTATATAAAATTCTAAATAAAATAGTTTGACATGATTTTATGTTTGAAAACTTTAAAATAAGCACAAGGCACTTTTAATTTGACATGCTTTTACAAAAAAAGGGGCCAATGTATTGAATTCTAAAGAAGACCCAAATGGCCTTAATTGTGCAATGCTGAGGTCCGTAGCCCTTTCACAAATTTTGGAAAAAATGTCATTTTTGAAGCATGGTTAGAATGGTTCAGTTTACTGTGTCTGGTGGTATGACCTCAGGAAAACCATGAAAATGTGTATTATTTTAATATTTTCTTTTAAAAAATGTAAATATAAACTCAAGTTCAAGGACAAAGGTTTCTAAGTAGAAGGTGTCTAAGTACATGCCTGTTTAATTTGAAATTAGTCTGAAAAGTCAGGCGCAATCAGACCAGTTTTCACAACTGAGAAAGACAATTAAAAGCTTTGATAAAACTATATTGAAGATATAAAATGCACATAGATATAAATACACATGCAGATATAAACATGCACATCATGTCTTTTTAAAAAGGATTTGTCATTGACCCATATATATACATACCCTGTTATCTCACCCATAGCCCCTATCATACCAATCTCACCCATTGTCCCTATCAGAACACTCTATATTTACTTCATGTTAGCTAGCTAAATTTAGTTATGTTTTAAATTCTATATCAAAATGTAGCTTATTGCCATGAGGGCAATCATTTTGTCTTATGTGTTTGTAAGAATTCTCCCTGTTGACCTAGAAATTAACACTGTGTCACCCAACCCCTCTGCCAGCCAACCCTGTTCTCGCCTACATGTTGAGAGGTTCATGCTTGTTTTAGTCATTCTTTGGCCTCTGGTAAATCTCATCTGGTGCATCACAGAACTGAATACACTAGTTTTCTAAATCATGGCAGGAGAGTCTGTGTAGGCCTTTTTCATTTGTTAATTTAACCCCTTATTCTTAAAAAGCTCATATGTGGGCCCATATGTCCATACTTCTCCTTCAACTATGTGACTTATATTAGTTTCATAGTAGTTACAATAAATGGGGCGATTACTGATTTTATGAATTATTTCAGGCAGCACCAGTCTTGAATTTTTATGGTGAATTCCATATCTGCTGAATGAACACATAAAACACACTAGCACATTTCCAGTGCCTTCTGGTAGCCAAAGTCAGTATATAAATAGAATTATTTGTCCTTTAATTCAACTGGGTTAAACTGGCTGTTTAAATTCATTAATAAAAAACAGTTGCCTATTTAAATAAAATGAGATAAACAAAGTGCTACATTGAAAGAAAGAGGGAGTTGCCTATTCAGCACAATGACTCATACATAATTATGTTAGGACATTTTGGTACAGGTGTAGCAGCAGAATTCAAATACAGCGCAAACACACTCATCATAATGTAGCTACATAAATCAGCCAAAAAAAAAGAGGCAAAAACACCCCATTCAGATTGTAGCTGATATAATTTCAATTTCAAATGATTTCCAAAATTGTCTACATTTAGCATGTTTCTAAAAAGTCATGGTGGAAGTGAATGCTGCTGCACTGAAAAGTGTACACCAAGACAGCACATGATTACATAGTGCTGGTAATGTTTTTATATTTAAGTAGTTGTTTTATTATATGGGGATCCATGAAAAGTCCATTAATACAATACCTGCAGTAAAATGATATTATTGTGTTTTATGTGCTTTTTAAACATTCAGTTTATTTTAACAGTACTGCAATGTACCTAGTAGTTACCATTATAGTGATTGCTGTAATGATGCAGAGTTATACTTTATTGATCCAGCTGTGGGATTTGAACCCACAGCCTTCCAGTTGCTGGAGCGCTGCTCTTTCCAGAGGAAACTTTTATCGCTCAAACGTTGCTCTGTGATGGCTTAGAATTGTGATTCTCATAAAATTCTTTAGGATAAATAGAATTAGACAAAAAGGAGAAAGATTAGAGTTCAGTTGCAGATGAAGGTGAGCATTATTATCTTGGCAAATCTGATCACAATGTGTTACTTTATTGAGCTCTCTATTAAAACTCAAGAGGAGACACAAGTGAGGTCACTGGGCTCTTTTGTTTAGGACTTTGTCTTTCCATCTGATCTCACTGTTGTCTAGAAGAGACTAGAGATATTAGGGAGATCTCTTTTCTTGATATGTCTTTCCTGTGGGTTACTTTCAAGGCTACTGGCCACTCTTCAATAATAAGTCTTAAGATTAATAACTCAGTAATATACTTGCAGTTTAAGAGGTTGACTCCATTAACTAACGTCTTCAAACTGACTCAGTAAATCAGAGCGAGTGTCCCGCTGACCTCTGACCTCAGAGTTTTGGCTTGTGTTTTTGTCCGGACTTTCTCAGCATGACTGGCGGGGCGCCACCCTGCAGATAAACGGGAGTGGGTGGAACGCTGGCAGGACTGGACCATGTCTTTCTGCTCAGACTGGGTGGAGGAGGCTGTGATAGTGTGTTAATGGGCTACGCTGGTGACGTGCAGGGACAACACACTGACCAGGGGCTGATAGAGAGACAGCAGCACCAGCACTGGCCTCAGAACAGGCACAACATGCTCACTGAGAGGGAGTTGAGAGTTGCTGCTGCCTACAGCCGATCCTCCAGCAGCCTGCGCTCCGCTAGCATGCCTAATCACAGAGGACGCTACTGTTAGTCTCAGGGGACACTGATAGTAATCATGACGCTGGTGCATGACTGACTATGCAAGGGGGTGACACAAGACAAGAATATACAAACCTAGGCGTGGACATGATTTTACGCACAGAAGTGAAGACATGCATATAAATTTGCTGCTGAGTTTGATGTAGTATTTCAACACAAGTAAAATTTCACTCTCTAGTCCGTATAGCCCATATATGAAAAGGAGGCTGCTAAAACAGCCCATTCTGAAGTTGATGTTTTTGTAAAACCAAGGTGTTGAACCTACAGCAGTTTAGCCCCACCCATTAATACTGAAGTAATGATAAGTGTTTTAACATGGACTACTTTTTGAATGAGATACAATACAGGGCAGCCAATGACAATAGAGCTCATTTACATATAATCAGTCTTAAAGGCACAGTAACAAAAACAGCCTGTTTAAATTTAAGGGATAAAGAGGAGTTGGAAAGTAGTAATGTAAAAATTATTTTACTTTATTCATGAATAAAAGATATACAGCAACACTGTTTTGTCTTTCAGTTTACCAATTTTTGGTAATAATTGAGTAGATTTTCTCTTCTAAGTCTTCGGATCTAGTAAGCTAGCTACTTTTTTTTTTATTCTGTTCATCATTTTCATTGCCTGCTCTCATTTATTTTCTATTATGAAGTAACCAAGCTAACCAGCTAGTAATAAAATGAAAGATATTCTTCCCTTCCCTTTGCTTTTTGCACTGTTGTTCATGTGATCCAAGTATGTAGCTGCTACACTGTTCAGCAATGCTGTAGAACACTGCCTGTTCTGTCAGCCAGCACCAGTTTCGTAACACCACACTGGGTTTGAACAGGCCGATATCTTACCACTCTACCAGATTCATTAGCTCACCAATTACATCAGCAAACCAGGGTGGAACCGTTACAAATTAGTTGTGACATTTATAGTTTGTATGTGTGTTCTTGTATATGTGTGCATTTATATGTCGTCATATAATATAATATAAGTTCATGAAAATAGATAGGATTTTGGAGCATTTTTATTGGTCTGTTCTTCATTAAAATTATCACACAGTGTTAATCCTTTTACAAGCCATGGGCCTGCCATTTAGCCCAGAGTTTTATGACACACTAATATAACCTAAGAACATCTCCATTAGTTTGCATTGAAGTCCCTGGAGTTACTAAATAATAATCATTTGTATGAAATAAACCTGGAACATGAATGGATTAAGGGCAGCTGCTGTGCTCAAATGAGATGTTTTTGTTTGTTTGTGTGTTTTTTTTTTTTTCGGACGTCAGTGATATGTTCTTAGCTCACAGCAGCCAGCGCAAAACTATAACAGCCTTCCTCCTGACCCTCATGATTACTCACTCTGGCATTGGGGCAGTGACACATTTGCCCTCTAGTCTTTACCTTTTGACCACTGCTTGAATCAGAAGACCCAAATGCTCTTAAAAATAAAGTTTCTGTACGGGTCTTGGAGAAAAAAGAGATTTAATTTAGTGGCACAGAAAGAACCTTTACATACGTGAACCTTTACATGTGAAAGTTTTTTAAACTTCATAAAAGTTATTCACGCACACACATCTGGGGTACTGTAGTGTCTTTATGGAACAAAAAGTGGCTGCAAAGAAAACTTCCAGTACCTTTAAGGGTGCAGTGTAACTGTAAGTGTACATGCTGTGCTGTAAGTTTATAGAGTGTAATAGATGACTGTGTAACTAACGTACTCTTTGTCTTGCTCCCCCCAATGGCAGCACAAACAGACCCCAACGGCTTGTCGCCAAGACAAATCAAAAGTGACAGTGATGATGACGACCTGCCAAATGTAACCTTGGACAGTGTTAATGAAACAGGATCCACCGCGCTGTCTATAGCACGAGCAGTGCAGGAGTGAGTATGACTGCTAAACGCACACACACACCCGCACATACACACACACATATCCTCACCCATACTTTAAAACCAATCTGTCCTCTCTGACTAATGTTGAGTCTGCTAAAACAACAAAAAAGTAAAAAAAGTGAGTGGGAGTGTACACATATTGTAGCAGAGTAGCCATTATGCGTCCTCCTGAGAATGATGCATACCATACTTGAACTGTATTCTATTTTTGCCTCCATTCTATTCGGCTTTGCCTACACATTGTGAGCAGTCCTTTAAACGCTTTACTGTAACTCCTTTTTTTTTCTTTTGATAATTTACTGTAACTTCAGCACACTTCAAAAAGAAAAAAAAAGGTTCCTGAGTTGGAAAAACCTGTAATTATTATAGAACTTTTACCATACATGGAGGTTCTTTAACTTTTCATTTTCATTTACAAAAATGGCTCTTTAAAGAACCAGCCACTGAAAGATTTTAAGGGAGCCAGATGGGGTCATTTAATGGCTTTGCCCCAAAAGAAACCCCTTTCATTTTTAAGAGTGTAGTGCAACACACATTAAAAGGGATCCATGCTGAAGGTCCTGTTAGTCTTCAGTTATTATTTTATTATTGAATGATTTATTTAATCATAGATAATTATTGAATTGTTTTCTAATTATTTGTTATTTTGCTACACTATGTTAAGTGCCCTCTAGTATGTTAAGGTGGTTCTTCATGCAGAGGGGAACCATTTAGGAACGCTCTGAAAAACAAAGTTTTCTAAATTGTTCTTGGCTTAGTTCTAGGAAAAATGTTAAACTGGTAGAAACTTATGTGGAGGGTCTTTAAGCCTAAAGAGAATTCTTTACACATGCACGCATCTCATTTACAAAAATGGTTCTGGTGGAACCATCAACCGAAAGGTTCTTTAAGGAATCAAAAGCGAATCTTTTTGGGTCCAAAGAACCCTTTTATTTTTAAAAGCGTATTGCAAGGCACTTCAAAAAGGAACCAAGAAGTGCCATCATGAAGTTCATTCTTTTTCTAATGCTTACTAACATTAAATACTAGTTATTTAATTATTTTTGTATTGTTGTTCCTCTTGTTCCTATTTCATTGCATTTTCTACAGTATGTGAATGTTCTTCATGCTGCATAGGGAAACCATTCAGAAACACTCTTAAATTTGTACAGCCTTTACATAATGCAGAGGTTCTTTAATCTTAAAGAAGGTTCTTATCTGCACATCTAATTTACAAAAATGGTTCTTTAAAGAATTGTCAGTTTAAAGGTTCTTAGGAAACCAAAAGTACTATCTGTAAAATGTTAAACTGGTAGAAACTTTACAAGTTTCTTAAAAACATAACATTTCTAAAAGGCTCTTTAGGAAACTAAAAGTAATTCCAAAAAGCTCTCTTTATTTTTAAGAGTGTAGATGAAGGACTTTTTGCAAAATACTGCAAAACCCTGCATGACCAACTTCTCCACTGTTGGCAGCACTAGTTGTCATGTGGCTGAGATGAGTGAAGGCATCTCTCCTCATTAGAGACATTGCCCTGGTCCCATGCAGCCCGGGGGGCTTCCGTGAGAGCGCTGGCCCCATCTCCTCTCGTAAACTCTGTGGCGTTTCCTTGGCCAGGCCTGCGCCGGCCGCTTGTTATTTAGGCAAACTGCTTGGAAACTATTCCAGGATTCTGCTGTGTGTCAGAGTCCTCTGGAACAGCGCAGAGTAAATGTTTCCCTTTGCTGGGAGTGTGCTGCAGACAGACGAGGGACTTTGCCCCTGCTGGAACGCCATAGCCAAGGTTTAACCAGGACTTAAAAAAAAAAACATGCTGTTTCATAGAGGTGCTTTTTTGGTGTTTACAAAAGTGAGAAAGGGTGGGGAGAGAAAGAAAGAAAGAGAGAGAGAGAAAGAGAGAGAGAGTGCAGCTGTGTTCACTCTAGCTCATGAAATGAGATTACATTATGCCCAGTCAGGCTACAAGAATAACACTGATATCATAGCGTACCTATTGGGCCAGAACAAATAAACAGTTATCCTGTAAAATAAGAGTTATAAATATTTTCAAATGTTTGGCTTAAGACAGCGACTGTATTCTCACAAGACACCCAACTACAAAATCCAAATAAGTATCCTTCTGCGTCCTTTTTTTTAAACTTTTGCGAAATTACCCCAACACTGAGAGCTGAGATGGAGATTTTTGCTCATATTTGCGGGTGTGCCAGTCAGCAGTCAACTGTGTGGTGGGTGAGTGTGGGTGATGGGCTTGGTTGGCACTACCCAGCCCACTGAGATGAAAATAACTCTGACCTGTCAGTGCTCAGTCTATGCAAACTCTCCCTACTGCAGTGGTTCCAATACTAGTCCTGCAGGCCCCCAGACGTCACATTGTAGCATTTGCCCCACTCTAACACTCAGGAAGGGCTTGTTAATGACCTAATTTTTTGGATCAAGTATGTTAGGGAAGTAGCAGGTAAGATTTACAGCACAAGTAGGTTTGTTACTGCCTCACTATAGCACTGACATTGTTGACAGTGTTCCACTGCTGCCAGTTGTGCAGCTATATTAACGTAAAGGACCCATAACCCACATTTTTCTTGTGTTTGATTTTTGTTCCTGTGGTCCCATTTTTATGTACCAGACATTGTCATTACATGACCATTTCCTAAATGCTCTTTATCTCTAAAATTAAACGGGCTGTTTTTGTTACTGTGCTTCTACTGCACTGGCTTTACATGGTGAAACTTTCATGCAACTAGTTGCAAGTTGTGAGTTGCCTGCAATATAATTTCAGTGAATCTATTTGATACATCGTATATTTCTCATTATAAGATCATTCGTAATATATACATTTACAGCATTTTATCTTCTTTTGATGTTTTTTCCAAATGTCATTGCCATTCTTTTTTCTGTCAAAATATCTGTTTTTTTATCTATCTATCCAGGGTTCTTTACTATATATTTACATTTTTTATCTTTTGTTTGTATGTTAACCATTGAAAATGAATGTTTAAGCAGCAGTTATGGTTATTGCCCATAGCACAACAAGTCCATCGCGAACATCGCGTCTCCTCTTCTGTAATAATTTTTATCCTTTGAATCCCAAATCACTCTGAGTTCTGTAAAATTGCAGGGCAATGAGAGAGGAGAAATTGAATCTAGCTACACAGATCATGAACAACAAGCTAACAAAGAGGAACAAATGACGGCACAGACAGCCATTTAAACAGCTATTAGCATGAACTTGTTAGTTAATTCAGCTAGTTACAGAAACATTAGCTTTAACAAACTCAGGTTTGTTGTTGTGGCTCAGGAGGCTGACAAAATTAAAAACTACCAACCTTGAGCCATTCAGGGTGGGCACCTTTTCTACCACCAGTAAACCATCTTCTGTTTTATTTTGTTGTCTGATTCAGTGAAATCAATGCTTAAAAGTATGTAGTTTGAAGTTATGTTGTGCATTACTGACATTTTGATTGGCTGTTTCATGAAACTTGTTTCACGAAGATGTGATGCTTGTAACTGTTGTGGCTGAGTTTCAGCGCAACAAAAGATGCTTGTAAGTTTCACTGTGTAAAGCCAGCCTGTGATCATATATGTAAATTCTACCTCTCTATTCTAATTGGCTACCTTGTATAGTGCCTGATTTATAACTTCAGTGTGAATGGGCAGAGCTAAGTTGCTGTAGACTGAAAAGATTGATATATGTAAATATGTTTTCATTTTTGTGACATCACAAAAATGGTGAATTCAAAACAGGCACTTTAGTTTCCATATAGGAACTCTGTATAGACCCTCGCTTGTGACATCGCTCCTTAATAAAAAGTAATGCATGGCCATAACTTACTAAGGTGTGGGGACAGGCCTCTAATGCATGGTCATGACTTAGAAAGGCAGATGAAATGTCTCCAGTTGGGCTCCAAAGGGGAGCGAATGGTACATTTTGAAATCTTAAAAATTGGGGAAAAGTTGATGTCAGTTTGCACATACCTCATTGTACATGTATTTACTTTTAGATTTACTCTTTAACACTTATAAGTCTAGAAGTATTACTGTCATTTCATCTTACTCTTCTCATTAATACTACAAATGTAGTATAGATTGAATTGTAGAACCTGCACTTTGAATAGAATTTCTCTGCTTGTTTCCAAGAGCTACAGGTGAGAAATAATAAAGATCATACTAAACCATGCTGTTGTTCTCACTGGAGATAGTGGTGAATTCTAATGTTTAATATTCTTTATTCATGACATCAAATTCAGAGAGTTTGTCAGACTTGTACAATGATGATAAAAACATTGCTTTATTCATGAAAACACTAAAGGACAGGAGCACCGAGAGCTTCTCTATCACAGTACTGTCTTTAATCAGACTGGGAGAGAACTATTTTGCCTATTACAAACTCTGCACTTCCAAATGTCTCTTGACTGGAACTGCCCTACAAAACAGCATCTGGCAACGCTGGCAGGGAGGCGGCAGACGCTATCAGTCTTAAATGTCACACTTTATGAGATGTGAGTCATTGGAGGAGCCGTGGTACGGTGTGTGTGTGTGTGAGGGTGTGTGAGAGAGGGAGAGGTGATGATGGCACTATCAGAGAGTGTGCACCTGATCAGCACTGTGGGGGAGACTTACATGTGCCTGGAGCTCCGTCTGAAGCACTCTCCTACTCCCACATGGACAAACCTTCTCCAGTGATGTGTGTGTGTGTGTGTGTGTGTGTGTGTGTGTGTGTATACAAAACCCCACCTCAGTGGTGTCCTCCATATTCATGAATGCTGGGGGAAGATGCAGTGCTATTGTTAGAGTGGCCCTGGCAGATTCTGCCCCATCCCTTGAGTATCCGGGGCCGTTCAAGTAAACAGGTGGGGGAGCACACATGCACACACATACACACACTACAGTTCTGGAGTACCTTAAACACAGTTCAGACCCCCTCCCCCCCTTCTTTACTGTTCTGTACTGATGCTCGCTCTCCTTCTCTGTCATGTGGGGCTGGATTCAATTGCATTTCTTTAGGAAATGTT